GGTTCATATCTACAGCGATCATGTGAGAAAATTTGACTCGCTAGTCACATCTAAGTTACACGAACTGTGATACCGACCTTAAGAACTTGTAAGCACCAGTATTACAGATACTTATGTTAGCCACCGTTTCGATTAGAATACCAGTGCAGTTATAAGCCTGATTGATTAAGATTTAGCACTGCGTACAGCACCATTACGAAACTTTCGCCAGACGTTTAAGCGGATACGAAGCGCCGAGGACTGAGCAGAGATGGCTGAACAGCGGTCACCACTATTGAAGTTTATGCTTCCTTGGACGCGCAACGCTCAAGACTGATAGACATGACCTGATAGGAAAATGACATGAGCAGGGCGCGGCCTGCGTGGCATACTGCAGCTTTTTAACTTGATGACGCAGTGCAAATCTTAACAATGATCCTAAGGTCAACTTCATTGCCATGTGAACCAATTTTGACGTGCGTTTCGCTCCCGTCTTATCAAAACTCCATACTCAACTTATCCTCCAGTGTCTGCCTGTTCTCAATGGGAGCGAACAAAGGTTCAAACAAAATGATCCTACGAACGACGGCAAGTATAGTAAAGCAAGACCGCCCGGTGGAAACATTTTGTCATCGACTCCATACAGGAATCCATGAACATGGACCGAATTCACCACGGATGGTGTCCATTGAACTGAATGCTTATGAGTCGTTGAGTCATATGCTCCTTATCTGAAGGATGATCAAATCTTGCTCAAATTGTAATGTTATGAGTTTAATAGCGAAGTCACGAATATTTAATTCGGGACTCCGTTGCTGAAGTCATCACCTGGCTCAGAAATCTGTGCATTTCCATTTAACGTTGGAATTTTCCTCCTGGCATGCGATAGAAGAACATTACTATTTTATGCGGATGTAAATTATACAGTATGTTGCCATCTAGACTGGTAATCAGTCCATACCGGGCTGGAGCTAATTTGCGTTTTAGTGCAGACTGAGCTTTACTGCATTACTGATTAGGCCTCAGCCTAAATCTGTGTCACGGCTTGAACTTGAAGGGGCAGCATGGATGTTGAAGTTTAGGTATCAGGCTAATAATCCAGTAAAGCCGCAAGATTACCGGTTTAGAATAAACCACATCTCAGTTCCAGTTCATTACGGCATTACGTATATTATCTGTCTATTACAATCGTTATGTTCCATTGTAATTTGACTTTAATTCATGCTTATAACTACATGAAACATTCATCGATAATATTCACAAAACTGTACAGATTTATTGATTGATGTTTTCTTCAATAGTAAACAATATACTTTGAACCTCTGATGTCTGAGTTGTTCTTGTTTCTTCTTTCTCACATAGTTTACCGTTTGTTTGGTGAGATTCCCGCTCTTGTCTAGAATTACCATAAACTTCTTATTAGGAAGTTTCATCACAGACTTTTGTTGTGTGGCCAAAGCCATTCATTGGATTTAATGTCGTCGCTTATGTTGTACGTTCCTCCTTTTACGCGTCTAATCTTACAACGGTAATAGCCAGCCATCGTTTAGAATTGAGGAACGCAAGAAGGCGATGGCTGCGTTGAAGTTCATCACTCGTAACGGGTCGTTTACACTTTGGGACGAACACTTCAAGACCATCCTGTTGATTCTGTTGGAGACACTCGGCGACGAAAACGTGGATATTCGTGCGCACGCTCTGCCTGTGCTCAAGGAAATATGGTAGGGCTGTTTGTGCAGCGTTTGTGAAGTGTGTCTCGTCGTAACACGGTGTGGTGCGCTTTTAGCCTCAGCCAACAAGACCGATTCCGTGACTATGCCGAACTGACTATCCTGACGGTGTTGGACGCGCATAAGGACAAGGAACGCGAAGTGACGCGTGCCGCAGAGGACTGCGCCTCGGTGCTGGCCACTCACCTGCCCACCGGCGTTTGTCTGCGAGTGCTCCATTCGGTGATTCGTACCGACTCGAGTCCGGCACTGTTGGCGGCGATCAAAATGGCCAACCGGGTCATCGAACGCATGAATCCGGCTGAACTTGAAGAGATTCTGCCTGAACTTCTACCCGGCATTATACAGGTACCGTATTTTTTGCACCATAAGGCGCACCGGATTATAAGGCGCACTAACTATTAACCACTATCTAAGATCTTTTTTCATACATAAGTCGTACCGGATTTTAAGGCGCATAAAGCGAAATAAAGCAGTCGGGTAGATCAGACTTTATTCAACTCATTAACAATAACTGTCAAATTGTTCACTTGTAACAATAACTGCAACAGTAACATTAACAGTCAATATTGTATACTTGTAACACACGTAAAATCCACCAGTGCAGAAAAATACACCCAATTTTTCAATCATTCCTCTTATATAAATCCGTTAAATTGTTCATCCCCAGTTTAACAGTTGGGCGATTGAGGCATCAAGC